TGTGCTTGAAAGAGTGCATTTTCCAAGGAACTAGAAGCATCAAAATTCGAACATTTCCTGCTCCTTCGGCGGCAACCATGGTGCCGCCTCGGGTAGTAACTATATCCTTTGCCCGTTCCGATATACAGACTTGACAAAACTATTAGGAAATTCCGTTATTATCAATTTAAAATGAAGTTGCGAATAACAGTATACAGAGTTAGATTGACAAAATGCATTGCAGAGGTTTGTGACAGCAACTAAAGAATTTCAGGCAAAAATTTTTTAATCAGGTAAATTTGTAGTCCACACCCCCTCCCCCCCCCCCAATCAAGGCTTGCCTCGCGATGGCCCTGCAGCCAACAGCCGCAATCCGCATTGAAATGAAGCGTAGATGTGCGCGTGAAGCCGCAAAACTATAATTAACAAGCCCCCTATAAAAGAATGTTAATCGAATGTTGCCTAGGAAACCAGTACAAACCATTAACTCTATCGAGTCCAGTGTCCCATGTATGGAGTCACATCGTGGACAAAATGACAACCGATAGATCGTACCGTGATACGTGGATCGTACCGTCAGAGCCCCGTGGATCGTCCCGTCACGTCACGACACGGTTTGACAAACTTGACGACTCGATCTTTGGCATTGTCCCACGATCTACGAACCGTGCCGTGACGTAACGGGACGATCCATGGGTATCTGACGGTACGATTCACGTATCACGGTACGATCTATCGGTTGTCATTTTGTCCACGATTTGACTCCATACCCATGTCCCATTATGCTTCTAAAGCCGTCAATGTTGCGTTAAAAGGCATGGCTCTGGGGAAGTGGTGAATTCATGCGCTAGTTATGGGCCATTTTTGTTCTTCGTAGTTTATGATCCTAGGGGTCATAGGGGTCCTAGGATCATATCGACCGGTTTTTCCAGTATGCCCTATTTTGAACACAGTGCTGCTTTGACGCAGATTATCAACTCCTTGCTACAGTACAGACCAAAAAGGTGCTACAGACTGACTGTTAATTCTAATCTTTAAATATTAAAACAATGGAAGCAATGTAAACCAAATATTAATGCCATGATACTGGAACGTGAAGAATGTCCAGTTTGCATAGCGTGGGATTCTGTTGAAAAAGGTTTTGGTTTTATCAATGACAGCGAAGGATGAATCCTTGACAACTAAAACCACGAAGAATTTAAATTTTAAATCTGTTTTCTTCAGAATTTAGTATGACTCCTTCCTGTTACTGACTCCAATTAAGTTAGCATGGCAACACTGATAGTTGCATGGCTCATATATAAAAGATTTCGTTGTTAAGATCAATATCAGAAAGCGAAAGCTTTTTAGTTAGAGTTCAAGGTTGTGATGCTTTTTTTCATTGCTTGGGTTTCTAGAACATTTGTTTCTAACCTAGGACATTAATTTGTACCACTTGAACAAGAACCTTCATAATACTTATTCTCAGGGCCACCAAGAGAAGGGCAAGGGGCAAATTGTTCCAGGGCTTTGAGGTCTAAAGGGGGCCTCAAAAAGAAATTAATTGCATTTTAAGAATGGAATCAACCAAAAAAAAGTAGCAAAAGTTTACGTAAGAAAACTACTGAGACGGACCCCGCACGTACTTCCTTTTACCTAAAGGCCGATTTCCATTTGACATTTTTTGGGCGCGCGGGCGTAGCGCCCAAGTCTGAGCATGCGTAATTAAAATAAAGTGGTCTCGATTTTGCGTCCGCTGTGAGCGCCAGAAAGTTGAAAGGGTCTCAACTTTTTGTGCGCTCGGCCACTTGACAGCAGCACTTAGCTACGCATACTCAAATTTGGGCGCTACGCCCGCGCGCACAAAAAATGTCAAATGGAAATCGGCCTGAACCATCGCCTATATATACCCCTTTAGAGAGAGTCCGTAGAGAGAGTCCGTAGTGTAGTACGTGTCATGCTGTAGTTGCTTGTGAAAGAACTCAGCATAGAACTATATAACATTCCGTTTGAAAGGTTAGAAGTTGTTATCTCTGCAAGGGCGAAACTTTACTGTTTTCATTAGGGGTGTGTGAAGCTAATATGCCCGACGAAAGGGCGTGTCATGCTTGATGAAAGGGCGTGTTATGCCTGAACATCATTTCTAGGGCAGATCGCCTCAAGGGTTGTAATCATCAGGGACCCCCAGAGAGGGTCACTTAGAATGTTAGGCCTTCAGAATTCAGAAGCTGTTTTTAAATTGCAAAAAAATATGCCTCTGGTTTCTCTGGTGTTGGCTAAAAACATTTTTTTCCGAAAAGCGAGCATTTGTAAGGCCAGTCTTCAGTTTCTAAATCTCCTAGCTATTAAGAGAGCAATTTTAAAAAGAGATTGAAGTGGGGTCTCAATTTGATCACAGTGGAACAACAAAACGCAGCTTGGAAATTTCGGAATTTAGAAGCAGCCACACAGACTATGTTTCAACAAAGATAGTAGTCCCATAAAAGAGCTTCAGTTTTATTTTCTAAGTTTGGTTTTCAACTTTCGTTTGTTCTATAAGAAAATCAAGCATTTTTAGACACCCAAACACAAAGTAAGTATCTATGAGTTCACCATAGCAAAATATCTAAAGCTTATGCAAAGGAAAGGAAATCAGCAAAGCTAAATTTTCATGTTTTCGTATTCAAAAGATAAGAAACTCGAAAGTTTTTTGGCAGTTCATATCATAATTACAATGCCTTGATAAATTTTCTTCTACCCTCTGTAACTTGTTACAGTTTTTTGAATTTCTTTAGTTAAAAAACTTTGGCGGCTGTATGGCCATTTTTGGCGAAGGGTGCAATACTTTCGGACCATAAGTGTAAACCTTAGAAGAATTTTGGGGTAACTCCTTATGAATGTATGATGAAAGTATCATACATTTGGAAAAGAAAAATTTGCTTGGTTTTTCTCAGCAACGTATTCCGAGATGGCATATCGTTCCTGCTTTGATTTTTTATTGTAACGACACAGGGTTCCTTTACGAATGGTTATTGTTCCATGGGCTCTGACGCAGGTTGGAAATAGGAGGCGAGGTTGGTCAAGGGAAAATTTAAAAAAAAATGGGGGGCATGCCCGGTGTTCAGTTCCTTCTTGCATCAAAAACATTTTACTTTCCGTCTATACTTTCGCTGTCGATCAATACTTCAGACTCTACTTTCGCATCTCGAGGCGAAAGACAGGAATGAATAGATGTTGCTGTTGCTTGCCTCGTTTCTGTTTTGTTTTCCCAACAGGGTGTAGATTGAAAAAAAGATAGGGGAAAAGACCATAAATTCAAAAACCAAACTGGGGCAAAAGTAGCAATAAAAGTGCGACCTAAACAAAACTTCCAGATTTTCCCGACCGATATACTTGCAGCCATAACAAATTTGCCCGACAAAATCTGCTTTTTGAAGTTTAGGGGTGCAGAGCCCACAATAACCCCCCTCCAGCAGTTTCGCCACTGATTCTTCTGTTTATTCTTGCACATTATGTTATGCTAAGTAATCCTGAACATTATTCCATAATTATCTAGAATATTCTTAAAGAACGAAATAAAATCCAGTATTAAATTGTAGTAGAGAGTTGTTGCATGCTTGGCGTAGATGCTACCCTAGAAATCGAAACTTAAAACTACTGTGAAAATGTTGGTTCCTACGTCGTGCTCTCTGGGTTAGGAAAAAAATAGGTGAATTTGTGGACATACCTTGAACCTGTGGGCCTAAGCGGGCACGACTTACCTTGAGAAGCATTTCTGTGTTATGGGATTCAGAGAATTTTAGCGGAGGGCAGCTAATTTCGAGTTGCGAACCACCAAAGTTTTTCAAACATCTTATTTGAAATCACACTTACTTTTGTAACTTTTATAGAATCGTTGAAAATCACACAAGTTTGCATAAAAGTGCAAGCAATCACACTTGATTGAGTGATTAAATCACAGATTTTACGCGTGCGCAGACATGTTCTCGAGCATTGGGAGGAATGGGGCATGAGCAGGCCGTTTTTGCAGGAAACACTACAAAGTTGGTAAAAACAAAAAGTTGGAGGGGTTTCTGTTCGAGGGCGTGCGCTGTTCCCCTGAAACCGTATCAGATTTGAAAATTAGAATACTTTATAAATATATACAGTCTCAAGGCGAAAAATTCTTACGAATACCCAGGCTAAATAAATTTATTGCATTCTTACAAAAAGAATGTAATTGCTTGTGAAAATGCTGTTCAAATTTCAAACCTCTTTGGCATTCAAGGCCGGTTTATACGATCATATTAAAGGAAAAATTTCCATCACATTTTTTATATGATCACAGAATGTGATGGTGTAAATGACCTTAAAAGTTGCTTGAAGTTGCACGAAGCAGCAAGAATTAATGCCTGCTAATTCACCGTCACAGATTTTTATTTGACCAGCGATCAAATAGAAATGTCTGTGATGCAATTTTTCCAAAGTTTGTTTTGTTAATACACGAGAGCCTACAAATTCTTGGGGATAGCCCAGCGCTTAGCCAACAAACAGTTTCTTCATAACTGTATCTTTACTTTGTTTACGTGTTTTGTTTATTATTTCAATAGCCTTTCAATTTTGAGAAATCTTTCGATCTTTTTAATCATGCATCATTCTCAGATAACTGATATCTGAACTATTTAGGCCACTCATTTAGTTTCTTATTAAACTGAAGAAGAGAGGACAAAGTCTCGAAACGCCGTCTAATAATATAACACACTTATTCAAATATTTCCATTTGAAAATGGCCTAGACGAATAATAGTATTTTCATTTAGATATCCACCACCAGCCTGCATTGGCCTTTTATATAATGTCACCTTGTTCGTCTTGGTCGTCAAATTGAAAATAATAGGCCCAGGTAACAACCTTGTGGAATCCCAAAACGTATGACCATTGATGAAAATTTTCAATCTAGCTGAAGCACAAATAGAGTAAGCCTGCCTATTTGTGCTTCAGCTAGATTGAAAATTTTCCTTCATCTCTGTTCCAACAACAACGTACTTACTCTAAGAATAAAATTTACAGAAAACTGACAAAAAATACATAATGGCCAATTTATTTGGTATATTAAGATTCACTTGGTGAAGTTCACTGACTAATATAAATTCAAATTACGGGTGGCTGAAAATCCATTGAAACTAGAAAAAACTTAGGCAATAGTGTTACAACAACTAAACGGGATACACTCATTTTTTATAAGAAACAAATATCGACGTTGAGTACTCCAATTTCTTAACGCTTCGGGAATTCCAATACTATGATGTAATTAGTTTTAACATTCGGGGTCTTACATTCAATTTTTCATGCTAGGAAATATTTCCAACAAAAACTTGCTGAGCAGGTTTCTTTTCAGCTGTAAGCAAAGACAATTATCGATATTTCTATTGTTTTCAAATGCTCCAGATATTTCTGTCAAGACAATTTTTCAAAACAAGAGCGGTAACTGTAGTCGCTGAAGCAACTATCTGCGTTTCTGAAACCAGAGGTGGCGCCAGAAATCTTCCGACAGAGGGGTTGGAGCTTCCGACAGGGGGGCTAAAATGACTAAAATAAGCAGTTTTCGTACGTTATTTTGTCAAATTTGCTCCGACGGAGGGGCCGTAGCCCCCCTAGCCCTCCCCTGGCGCCACCACTGTCTGAAACAATTTTTGTTCTATCCAGGTTGCAAGAGGGAGCTTTTCCAGATGGTTTTCGACGTTTTACTCCAGTTTACGTGTATTAGAAATATATCAGTTCAATCCAGCCCCAGCCAAAATTGTAGAGCCCTTATTAAAAAATAAGGGTTTTATATTTCCTTTGTTGATTTATTTGTTCGACTGGTTTCTTTGAAAACATAAGAAGCATTTTAAAACACAAAAGGGACTACGAGAAAATGGTGGTCAAATTGTGACGATTTCAACAATTTGTCGACGGTTGTGGCCTGATCTTGCACTACATTGACTTCAGCCTTAAAATAAAATTTTCGCCAGAGCAGAGTGTGATCCGTAAATTATGTTTAATCAGCTAATCTGATGTTTAATCAACAGAAACGATAAATTATCATATTATCATAAATTTCATTTTTCCACAAAAATTATTAGGAATAAATTTGCAAACCGTCACGTTTGAATTTCACACACTGTTGAGACCTTTGTACTTTCGGAATATAGGCCCTACTCTTCTTCTAAATCTTCTAAGGTAATAAAAACCAAAGGCAACGACCACAAATACAACAATACAACGAAAAACAACAAAAATGTTTTCAGTTTCGTCGGTACCCTTCACTCTCGTCTGGGAAAAATGCAGAACATCAGATAAGTCCTTTTTGTTGCTTGGGTCCTCGGCTCCCTTCAGGCTATCTGGATGGCTCGCAAACCAGTAAGCGTACATTCCAAGGCAGCCTGTCGCCACTCCAGTGAAATGAGCCGAGCAGCCATCTATGAATTAAAATGAATTAAATAGTATGAATTAAAAGCAATATAAAGTCGAAAATTTGAGAAAATGAAAATATTTAAGAATAAATGTAGAAAACTTAGAGACAAACTCAGAGGTCCTTTTAAATGGAAATATGTGCTTGATTTTGTCATTGTATGCACTATAAAGCTTCATGTACGGTATTATCGTAAATCCCTGATTTAGGCCCAAGGGGGCTTATCAATTAAGAGTGCTTATTAAAATCAACTTCGAGATACTATACGAGATAGAAACATTTAAGAAAAAATGCGTTTTTGAAATGTTGGCTCAAATTTTGGTTCGCTTGCCACCGTGTTGGACAACCCAGCAATGTTGGGGCAGGGGTAGAGTTATTAGATCGATTTCAATAGTTGAAAAATGTTGGGAATTTTGGCATTTGTTGGCTCATTTGTGTATGTTATCGTGCATGCGCAAAGATATATTATCGTGCATGGGCAATGAAATATTGTCCGACAAGCTTCCTCATCGTTCCTAGAGTCTTTGGTTTTACTTCTTTTAATGTAGTAAGGCTTCCCTCATGTGATGTAGCTTGTTGTGCAGAATTCACCCTGTTGCATGCTTGCTACAATGCTTTCAGCTCCAATGATCAAGTTGAAAAGGCGCTCAGAAAAACTAATGGTTTTCGGTATGTACTGGTAAGATACTATATGTAAATTTTTATTATTACTGCCATGAGTGTAAAAAGATGTGCTCTGCATAGCAAGCCTCAGTGCAGGGGGGAGGTTATAAATAACTGAAGGAAAAAGTTGGAATGAAATGTTGGGTGAAATGTTGGCAGAAACGTTGGCTCGTTTTTTTATGCTTTAGAAATATGATACAGTAATGACCATAAAAAGTATCATGAACAAAAATATGATACCTTGCAGCACCAACTCTTCTTTAAGTCTTCTGTTGTGGAACCTACAAATATGATGACACAGAGACTTTCTTATTGTACTGATGTTCACATTTTTGTTATCATATTTTTCTAACAGATAAGGGCTGGATTATCAATAATAAATTGAACTACAATTAAGTTAAGTAGTTTTTTCCTATAATTATAGATACTTTCATTCAACCTAAACATATTTGTCTTGTAAATGTTTGAATATGAAAACAAATTTTAATATTGATTATATCTTTCGTTGCTACACTTGAAGGAATGTATATCTGACAAATGACATTTTGGTATAATGAACAGGACGGTTCTATGTTGCTACTTGGTGTTCCTTACAGCAATCATCAGGCTATAACAAATCATCAGTTAATAAGACTAACTATATTAACACACATGGGGAGAGTAGTCTGAACAGTTGCCTGATTATTGAATTGAGTAGGAAACTAAGAGCAGCATCTTAAAACCATCTTGTTCTGCAAAAGTGTGTACAGCTCTCCCTACATGACCTCCAGCACTATATGACAGACTGGCAAACAGCAATTTTCTTTTTCTGACAAAAGCCTATACCTGACTATTTTGGTATCTTCTTCTTCTATTTTAATTGGAATTCCAGTAACCTCTCTTGCATCATTATCCTCCTCTTGATTTTTTTGCTTCCAACAACCTGATGGATCTTGTAGTTCCAATATCACACTAAGAAACTTTGTATCAAAACACTGTACCACTCCAAGCATCTGACAAACAATTACTTGTTCTGCAAATAAATCTTTTCCAATTTCATTATCAGCAGTTTTCTTTTCTTGAAATGTTTTTATCAATTGGTGGTAAATGTTTGCCCCCAGGTACCTGCTCTGGTGCTGCCATTCCTCATCATTACCAAACTTCTGCAACACTCTAGCACGACAACCTAGAAAATACTTTCTGTATTAAAACAAGTATTTTCTCAGCATTATGAAATCTCAGACCAAACATTATCAAATTCAATATGATTAGATGGCTCGGACAAGATCAAATAGACGCAAAAGCTCTAGAAAAGGAACAGTAATTAGTTTAAATAAGTGAACAAATTGAAAACAATAAGAAGAACCAGTTAGTATGCCCAAATTACCAATCCAGTCCTCCTTGGAGGCTCAATGTGCATAAGTTTAGGTTCACCACAGGCACAAAAGCCATGGTGGGATGGAGTGGAAGCTTGTTCAGCTGACATTTTGTAAAAAATTTTACAGTGTAAGTAAACCTCACTTATTGTCAGTTTAAAGGAGACTTTAGAGTTATTTCTAAAAAAGACATCATGCTGCACATTGATTTTTTATTGATCAATCTTCAAAACTAAAAAAATCAGATGAATCTGGTTGGAATACCCTGAAAATTTGTACAGTTTCATAGTTTTACTGCAAAGAGACCTTATTTTTGTACCAATGAATTATGGATGCAATTAACTTATAAATTAAAACCACAATATATTTTGGATATGCAGTAGATTCATGAGAGCTGTGCATTATAATAGATTAGCTATGAGTGTGAGTAGCTGTTTCTTCTTTGATTTCGAAATTATTTCAATTAGCTATTATAGCTCTGATATTTTTTGCACATGAAAAGGAAATTGAACAAAAACAATATTGGGCAAGGTCAAAGTAGGAAGCTATCTTCCATGTTTTAAACAAATGCAAAAATTTTCT